TGGTCTGTTTCCAATGCACTCTGGAGCCCTGAAGCAATTATAATATTGTACATTTCTCTCAAAATCCCACAGTGTTTCTGGGCTTATTTCATGGCACACCAGTGTGCACACCATTTGAGAACTACTGGATCTGAGCAATGTTTATTTGTAATAAGCTGCCATCAGCACTTTAACTCTATAACCCGTGCCTCGTTTTTTTGTCAGCGCAGAAAGCAGACAGTGAATGCAGATGCATTAACTCCAACCTGGCAACCCATGACATCCACTATCGGTGTATTTGGCCTTCTGCACTTCTCCCTACGTACCATGGCAGGTGAAAACTCACTCTCAATTTTGACTGTATCAGTGGAAGATTTCTCTGTCAACAGTATGTGTCAATATTTCTTTCTAAATAATATGAAATTGAAACAGAATTTTAAAACAAGTGATGTCCTTATACAGATGACTGCACCTCTCTACGTAATACCTCAGTGTACCAGCAGGGGGAAGCAGTGTTTTTGGAGGCCAGTGTGGAGGCGCCGCTGCACCCTCCACTCACTGTATATGTGGACTACTGTGTAGCTACACTGAAGCCCGACCCTCTCTCCTCGCCAAGCTACAAGTTTATCACCAAATATGGGTCAGTCGGACCTTCTGACTCAAACATTCTATGCATTTGTGGCTGGTTCAAAGTATTAAACTCAACACAGAATGGTACTCTGTAGAGTGCATAAAGGCCCAGCAGTCCCCTTAGGATATAATTTGTAACTTCATGAATTTTAAATTGGATCTGCACCAATTTGCTCAAATATCAGTCCCCTAAAACTTTTTATTTTACATCAAGATCCATGAATTACAATAAATTATTGTAAATATTGTGATATCTCGTAATGTTAAAGGAAGTGGGGAAAAAACTGGATCCTGATCCAGATTTGCACCAAAATGTAATGGGTTCTCCCCTGACCCACCAAGGCAATCCCTCCTGTAGTTTTTGTGCAGTGCTGCTAAATAACAGATAAATACACAATTGCCGATGAGAACATAATCTTTTTGGCGGAGGTAACAAAAGTGTTTCATATTGCAAAGTGTTCAGCCCAAGAATTCAAATGTGACATTGAGTCTATTGAGTGGATCCTCAGCCAGGTTGGGTCATCTTTCAGTGTTTGGGACCGGGTTGGAAGCAAAGCTCTGTTGGAATCATCATGTCTAAATTAGATGTGTTTCTTCATCATTCCAGATGTCTTGTAGACAGTGTATTACCAGGGTCTTCATCTAAATTCCACCTGCGGGAGCAAGAAAATAGGTTGTGCTTCAGTGTCCAGGCCTTCCACTTCAAGCAGGATTCTGGGGAACAGGTAACAACACCTCATTTGTGGAATTCATCTCTCTTATTTTTGAACTCATCCTATAGCAAGTGTTTTTCATTTGCATTATAATAAATCGTGCACAAGTGTATTCATCACATTGCTGAAATCAATCCTGGATCAAATGCACTTTTATTCATTTGGCTTTGTTCTTCAAGATGTTCATCAGCTGCCACCTGAGGGCCACTCCGAAACAAAACTTCCAGAGCCACCTTAACAAAGCCTGCTACTTCCATAGGCCCTCATTCAGGTTAGGCTGCATCTAGCGGAGTTCAATGTTGAATCAGTTCGTCATTGGTCTGAACTAGTGCTGCACGATTGGACCAACTTGGACCAAACAAACACTTTAAAGGCTAATTATCTCTGGAGTAGTCACAATAGACAGGCTTGAAAATACTCACTGGCCTCGCAACATAATTACGCTACATACAACCCGTAATGCATAATGTGAGCTCCATTGTTGTAGTGAACTTATTATTGTCTGTACTAATCCTGTCTTATATTGGAGTCACTGCAGTGTGCACTGTCTCCAGAGCAGTAGAGAACTGTCATCATGTTTTTTGTTCATTCGGTTTAGTCACCTGGCAAAAATACTTTGACCTCATACGTCTTATGATGAAATATACCTTAAATAATCAGTGAGCTGTGCATTTTCTTTGAGAACCAAGCACTGTTATTCAAAACACCATTTATTATATTGTCATTGCAATACCGTCCACAATAATCGCAATATGTCTTTTCATATCAAATTGTGCAGCACTAGTTTTATCTTAATGCGTATAAAGGCATCACAGTATTATTCGGATGTTCCTCTGTCACTCAGGTGGCGTGCCACAGAGGGGGACCATGCTCTGTGCGAATGCTGTGACTCTGACGACTGCTTGAGACCCACTGGAGTGGGGAATACTGGCGACACTGTCCACAAGACTTCACCCCATAAAGGTTTTCCTATGAACTTTACAGGTTTTTTAGGTTACTTTTACCAGTTGTACTGAATGCAGATGGTAGCCATAGCAACCTTTATGGATGTGAAGCACATGCAGTTATATGGTCTCTAAACTAGTTGTGTGTGTGTATGTTTGACAGAAACAAYGCATGAGGCGGACACAACAGTCGGACCTCTTCACACCCTGCCATCCTCCCATTGGACTGGTCATCTGTCAGTCAGTCACTGAAGAGCATTTTTCCAACTTGACTATTAGGTGGGTACAGGGACTGCTGAGAGCTGGGGAGTTGACCAATAAAGCATTTATCACATATTGTTTTTCTTGTTTCTAATCCCTCAGAGAAAATGCAAAGCTCAAAGGCATGAATAGCCTACTACTGCGTTGGCTCTACAGATTTATACTCCTTCTAAACACATTTAAAGCCCCTTCATGTGAGGATTTATTTTCTGATTACTCTGAACCCTTGGAGGCCGTTTACAGCAGTGATTTGCTTTAACAGTATATGTTGGATTATATGCAGAAGAAATGAAAAGGCAAGCATTGGCACATGATGTGTTCATTATCTCGCTGTCAGCTAAAAGTTACAACCCAAATTTGTTTCTTTAAACCAAATGTAACTTGTGTCTACATGTAGTAAAACAATTCCATGTGTATGCCAGCAGAGTGCGCTAGTGCTGCTCCTTTTTGACTGAGCAGAAGATGCGTATTTTGAGAAAGCTTTATTTAGCCCCAAGAGGAATAAACAAACCAATTTTTACTACCATGATTACATTTTTCTATATAATACTAGAAACAGTCCAAGCTGCCACGGTCTGGGTTTTTATTTAGTTGGCTCAGCGTGTCTGTGAGCTGACTTGATAGAAATCCTGTTTGTAAATATGTCTCTCATCAGACTGACAAGTAGTAGTTTCAGCCTGACTGAAGAATGAGTAGTATTTCTTTCAGCCATTAAAATTAATTGCCAAGAAAACAAACCCATGAGGAATTTCCACAAAAAGGCTGAAGCACCACAATGGAACTTAAAATATCTCAGAGGCAACAAGCGATCTAGAATAAACAGACATCAGGGTAAGAAATTGTAACTAAAGCTAACTTTCTACTCCTGTGAGAAAAAAACTATTGAATGTATCAGACTGATACGCAAATTTAGCAGGTTCACCTGAATGTCATTTTTCCATTATTGTGAATAAAAACACATGATTTACCACCGTAGCAAACCCACACAAAAGCCATGAATTGAATTATGAAAAGTAATTTAAAAAAAGAAAAGTTAAAGGAGATAATATTCCTGTTGTATGCTGTATGCTGTGATTGTGCTTTGGGAAACATTGAAGGATTCATGCTCAGACTGCCATCGCTTGTTTATTGAATCTGTTAAAATAAGTAATTCATCCATACAAGTTAACAACACCACAAATGAGTGAATGATCTTTTAGTTCCTTTAAAAGTGTAAATAGTTACCACAAGATAAAACTAAAAACAAAGAACCCCTTCATTCTGAGGGAGCAAATAAAAAGACTGCTCAATTTCAAGAGAAAAAATCTCAACAACATATACATGACATGACATATACACTTTATCTTTTCCTACATTGGATGTCAGAGGAACAGGAACAGATTTTTAAATTCTGATTTTATGGCATATTGTACCAAAAGAGTTTCTGCCCGATAAAGATGATACCACACACAGACTTAGTCATGTTTTAAAGAGAGACAATACAATACATGGACATATTTAACATCAGGATTGTCATAGAAACAAAAAATAGCATCTCACATTAAATTTGATAAAAGAAAAACCAACAATTTCTTTCTTGGATTATTTGCATGGATGTTTTTAGAGGCAACACATAAAATTAAGTTAAGATGTTACTTAATTTGGTACGTTTCTGAACATGTGCTCCTAGAATGTACGCAGACTGTCAAAGTATTTCAGTGTGCTCATCAACAGGGTTAAAGCAGATTACTTTGTTAAAAACATTTTTTTTTAAAACCTCAGATAAAGGTCAACATGAATTGATCAAAAATATCCATGACAAGATAATGAATCAGTGTAATGAGGAGAACGTGCACTTCTCTACCCAGATCGCTTGTTGTCTCTCAGTTCATGTTAAATGTCTCTTTGAGACTCTTTTCTGCCTGCGGACGTTTGATATCTTTCCACGTCAGAGGATCAGCAAACTCTGCAGGCTCTGCACCATGTTCGTCTGCAAACTCATCGTTGAACTTTGCCATTACATATTTCCAGTAGTCTGATGCCTGATAGCTTCCATCTGGAGGAATTTTCCAGTCTTTGAAAATTTCTCTGTAATTTTTGTAAGAGTGCCATTTACCTTTTGTAGCATCACAGCGAAAAAGGATGTCACTCACCACAGATGACGAGCAAATGTCAGTGACTAGTTTTTTGGTGTCTTCCCGCCTGTATCCATTCAGACCCTGTGGCCTATGCAGTTGAGCCGTATGCTCAGAATGGTCACCACCTCCTGACACACAGGCCACTGCACAGAAAGGACACTGTTTACCACATCCAATCA